AAGAAGGGAATATGGTCGCTGAGGCTTCTGATGTTCCGCAAGCGTCGTCGCGCTTTCACTTTCCGTTCCTGGATGAGATACCACCAAGCCTTCGGGACAGCGCTTACTTTCGATCACGGGTTTATGAAGTAATCGATGCATCTGACAGGGACATGGGTACTTCAGAGGCGCATCTTGCTCCGCAAGAGAGCAATTACTGGAGACCTTTGTCCTCGGCCAAGTTGGTTGACCCTCTACTTGAGGATGCACAACCGTCGCAATGGACTAGTGTTAGCTCCAACGATCGATTGCTGCGCAACATTCTCGAAAGTTACTTTGTCAATCAGTATCCAAGACAGTTCTTCTTCGTCAAGAATTATCTACTAGAAGACATGGTATCGAGAAGAGCTGAGTTCTGCTCTCCTCTACTCGTCAATGCACTTTTGGCCAAATCTTGTGTGAGTAAGTGTACACCTGTATCATGGATGGGGGTTCACTAACGTGCCATAGGTTAGTTCTCGACTGTTTGCCAACCAGACCAAGTTTTGGAATCCAGATAGCCTGCCATATCGATTCTTGGCTGAAGCAAAACGACTATGGGAACTAGAGGAGGAGCAGCCAAAGCTTACAACGATTCAAGCTGGCTGCCTCATTAACGCCACGATGAACGACTTTGGTCATGACAGGGTCGGGTTCTCTTACATGTTCAAAGCGCTCAGCATGGCACATCGAATGAGTCTCTTCACGCCTCGGTCATATGACAATAAACTTGAACACGCGAAATCGTTCACTGCTTGGGCCCTTTCCGCGTGGCTGTCGTAAGTACACTTGTTCAATATCATTCCTCAGCTAACTTCTGTCAGATTACAGAGCTACTACTACTTCAAGCCACCGTGCCTCTTGGATATCCCGGCAGATCCGCTTCCTGACGTCGATGGTAGATCGGAGTGGTATGGCCAGATGTCATTGCGTTATCCACCGGACGAGCAGACCTACTCACCCGAATTCGCCCATAGCATGAAAGCACTGTGCGAGTTGCGGGTCATCCAGAATGAGATCGGCGTCATGTGCTTTAGTCGCTCCAAAGAGTCTAGGAAGATGCCTTGGGGTGCAGCTCTACATATTCAGGCAAAGTTGGAAGCCTGGTACGGAGGTTTGCCTGCTCAACTACAGCCTCGCTGTATCGTATACCCCGCTCATCTGATGCTACAGTAAGTGGTCATGCCAGATGGCCATGATATGAAAGCTAAGAGGGTTGCAGTTGCGAGTACTATGCGGCTCTTGTAACCTTGTTCCGGTCGCAGATCTCGTCTGGGGATGATGGCGACCAGCTGTTGACGCAGCATCAACGCAACGCAGCTGAGCGAATCGTTACCCAAGCAAGCGTTCAACTCGAGAGTATTTTGCGCTTATACTACCTCCGCCATAGTTTCGAGGCGTACGACTCTACGCTTACCATCTTTCTGGCCCAGCTCGCCAACCTAACTCTGGAGCCTCTTGAACAGCTCGAACGAGACCCAGGCAACGCTCCCCAGGAAGTCAGCGAATCCCTTCTCTCGACACTCGTCTTATGCTTTAATGGCCTATACGAGCAATCGAAAAGCGCCTTCATCGCCGGTGTCATGCTCATGGTCATGAAGAAAAGATTGAGTGCCGACGTTCGCAACGCTGTCGGGCGCTATGTCACGATCGAAGAGACGGATAGTGATAATGATCCAATGGACGAAACGGACCTAGAGTTTTCACATCCAATTCTTTCGGAGCTCATACTGCCGGGTACAAGCCTCAGCGACGATCCAAAGTCGTGGAGATTGAAGAATTTGGTGGATGATCCTAGGAGGTATTCGGGGTAGCAACAGAATGGGATGCGATTAACGCGATAACATTGATATGCAGATATAATAGACGAGCGAGGAATGAAGCAGGTACTCTTGATGCGTTGTTCGGCCATATGACCAGATTATTCCCAGCAAAGCTCAACCTAAAAGCTGACCTCGGGAGTGTCCAGCCCTTTGACCACGTGATGTCTGTCTGGGGGTTCTTCGGCCCTGCACTTCAGGTAGAGTGCGCGATCAATGTTGTTAGGAAGACTCGACACGTCGAGACCGCAGAGCAGCAAAAGGAAATGCCAGCCACACGGCCAGATCGAAAGGATCGATGACCCTTTCATTTCTCATGCCAGGAGACTACCGTATCTTCATAGGATATCGATATTGTGGCGCCGCGCTGTCATCGGGTTCAAACTCTCTGGTGTTCCATCGTTACCCGTAAGCAACACTACGGTATGATCTCCGGATGTTAAAGCGCCGTCGCGTTGCAGATGATGGACGCGACGCCGAAAGAAGATAAGGGAAGGTGCTGACACGGCAACTCCTCGCCTCAACCTCAGGTTTGGCGGTTTGAAGAACGCGAGTCAAGTTGTGCAATGCCTGCAAATGTCTCTCTTCGCAAGATTTGTTGGAATCCTTCGCTGTGTAGGACGCGATGCAGCCCTGGAGGCGTTCCAGAAGCGGGACAGAGAAGGATGCCAAGCCACTAACTAGTCAAGCGGGCCGCTGACGTGGTGAGACGCTCACGAGAAAACGACAGCTCGTTGACACGGCGATAGCCATACCTGGTGGACGAATTGTGAGTTGCCACCACGGTAAAAAACGGAGATCAGATGAAAGCGATGGAGCTGCATCCTCGCTCGTGCAGATGTCACAACGAACGGCCCACCACCTCGTTGGTTCGGCAGAGCCCCGCATCCGCGGATCCATCTGCATCACGCGCACAGACATTCGATAGAACCCAGAATCAGGAGGCGGTGGAGAGTTTCAACGCGCGTCAAAAGCGCGAAGTTCCCGCCCCTCTTCCCGTTGCATTCCCGTTGGACCCACGACTTCCATTCAGGTACCAACGCACACGAACCGTGAAGAAGACAGCACTTGCAGCTTTGAACCTGTCCAGACAGCATCATGCCAGTGGACGAGTGGACTCCTAGTAAAATCACGTATGACCCACCCGAGAAAGGTCGCTTGGGGTATTCCGATCCTGTAGAGTGAGCATCTTGCGAGTAGTTACAAGAGCTCTCCAGCTGATCTCTTCCTATAGATACCATGACGTGACCGAACAGCAACAACCACACGTTCCCGCAAAGCGCGCCCGCCCTACGGAGCAAGAATTCTCCGTAAGGAAGAAGCGATTCTTCGACGATATACGACCTCTCCCAACCTCCCCGAACCAACACAAGTCCAAGAACAACTCCCGAAAAGCATCCTCCAGCAATCCGAAGTCGCGGTCGGCGTCTACCACCAAGCAGCGAGTGCACGTGGACCTTACCAAGGATGTAGACATGGAAAGCGTTGATGGACGTGTACCAGAAAGCGTTGATGGCGGTGTTCCAGAAAGCGTTGATGGCGGTGTTCCAGAAAGCGTTGATGGTGGTGTTGCATTGAGCAATGTAAGCGTTAATGGAGGCGTTTCAATCCCTCCTTCTGAAGCCGCTATGGACATCTCGTCTCCTGTCTCTTCGCGTGCGGCAATGCAATTCAGAGCCGAGCGTACTGAACTTCCGGAAACACCACTACAATCGAGACAAGACAAGGGCAAAGGCAAGGCTACTGAGATGGCGCCACCTCCATGGTTGCCCACGCCGGACTCCGAGGAAACACACTCCCCACCTCATCAACCTACGGAAAGTGACGTCGGAAGGATTGTCTACGCTTACCTTCGCGAACTTGGGCTGGATCTAATAAACCCGCAAAAGAGTTTGGCGAAAGCCTTCGATGCTCTAAGGAAAGAAATGGATGAGCCTCTAGACCTCAAGAAGTGGTGCTTGCCGGCAAGATTCGACAAAGAAGGGACAGAAGTTCCGTTCAGTGGCAAGCCATTCTTCCAAGTCCCCTTGAATATTGTCAATGAGCTTTCGGATGCGATTGCGCAGGGAAATTTCCTGGATGGAGAGTGGGCGCCCTTATGGGACGCCTTCGAGGAATTTTATCCCGACAAGCTGCCCGGTGCCAGGATGAGGGCAGAAAGGGAGGCTGCAAGTCAGAGTGCTTCTCAGCAGGTGCCACCACCAACGCAACCGAGGGCAATGAGGGATACTGCGAATCATGGAGCGGGGCCTTCTCAGCAACCAACACCGTCAACGCGACCAAAGGCAAAGAAGCGTGCAAGAACTGCTCGACAGTCTCCTGAGCCGGAAGAACTTCCATACGGCCCTTGGCTCACCCGTTGGGCTATGAGTTTGGGCCCAGAAGACTTCACGTTCCCTGGAGATTGCCCATGGGCATATAAGAAAGTCGTTAATCTGACCCACGAGGAACGGGTGGACATTGCGATGAAGTACCACAGCAAAGAGCTGACCGACATTATCGGGAGAAGGCAGTTCAACTGGTGCAAAGCAGCGCTTAGATATCATGGCTTGATTCGCTAGGGGACATATCTGCGCCAGAGCACCTGGATGTATGTCAACATGCGAACTGCATGTACGCAAAACTTGCTGGAAGCCTGGTCACCATCCTGGCAGTCCCCGAAGGCCGACTCCTTCGCTGAACAGCTTCACCGATGAGTCTGTGCTGGGTCGAGGTCGAACTAGTGGTTGTTGCAACGAGGCGGAGCTAGCGGTCAGGACCGTGCAGCGCTTGATTGTGGACTGAGGCCTAGTAGAGGCAGGCATGGTTGGAACAGTTCTCGATGTGAAGCCGACGGAGGCATTCTTGGCAGAGTTGCTGCGCGGATGAGCGGCAGCACGAAAGAGGCGGCGAGAGCTGGATGTTGCTGTCGGAGAGGCATGATTGCCCAGCAGGCGATAACGAATTTCATTGATTGAAAATTTCTTGCTTTGGGATAGTGTTGTTCGTGTCTCGCTATCATTTACTAACTTGATAGATAGGCCGTCATCTTCTACTACGTGTTCGAACTTGTCGGCGAAGTCTCCAGATTTCTTGTGTTGACTGCTTGTGTTGACTGAGTCCTCTGGATAAGCGCCGCGCTACGCCATCAGCGAGCAGCTTCTTTAGTACTGAGCCCGCCTCCTATATCGTCGACCAAGCATTGTCTATCGGCATCATAATACCGCTGATCGTCTTTGCAGCATCAGACGCAAGGAATGCAATGCCCTGTGCGATATCGTTCGGGCCCACTGATCCGTATGGAAGATCGTCTCTTTCGAGACCTTGGCATAACATCTGCACGGGGCTGCTAGCTTGTCAGCGATGACAGGGTATCAAGGGCTGTAAGCCCTTACTTGTACATTTCCATTGCAGCCTGATCGACGTCCTCTTTCACCACAGACGAGCGGATGTTGGTCGGCACGGCTGAAACTCTTGTTAGAATAAGATCTTCTGAGTTCAAGGACTAGACGCGGTACTCACCGCCTGGGAGTACGGCATTACACCTAATACCGTCTTTGCGAAAGCGCCATGCGACGTTCTTGGTCGCACCGACAAGCCCATGCTTACTGGCTGTGTATGCGATGCCTGCCACTGCACCGGAAAGACTTGCATAACTACCAACATTGATGATGGCACCGCTTTCCTGGTCTTTCATACTGGGCAACACAGCTGCCATCATTCTGACCGGTACTGTGAGGTTGATGGTCAGGACGCGCTCCCATTCCGAGTCCTTGACTGTATCGGCGCTGCCAAAACCATCCATGATGCCTGCAACATTAGCCAGCACGTCGATCTTCGGTCCGTACTTTGCGATGCAAGCAGCTATGGCATCTTCTGCTGAGCCGGGTTTGCAAAGGTCGGTTTTGTGGAAGGTGAATAACGCTTTCTGGGTGACATCAAGGTCTTGGTCGAACGGCGACATATCGATGCCGAAGACTTGGGCTTTCTGTGATAGGAAGAGGAGGGTCGTCGCGAGGCCAATGCCGCTGCTGCATCCCGTGATGATGACAGTTTTGTTGTTGAAAGATGTCATTGCGATGAGTATCTTCTATGTAATATTTTGACTGCACATGCCGCTCGCAGCAACTGGCGTTTTATGCATGCCTTGGATCTGTTCTTATGGCTTTCGCGAACACGTAAACACCGTATCAGAAGTTCGTCCTGATTCATATGTCCCGCAATCTAAATGCACACGAAATCAAATCGGGCTATTTGCGCGACCCAGCTGAACAGCTGGCCAACCAGAAGCTTAGCCGTTCGGGAACGATGAAAGTAGGTAGCATCGCCGAGCTTGGAGCGCGATCTATGGGGGCATTCAACCGACGTTGCTATTGCGTTCGCGCAACGACAGCAGAGATACTCAGTGAGTCCATCTTTGCATGAGGCAGAAGGCGATAGCCCAGTACTTTGCGATTGGCATACATCGCGAGCGTATCCAAGACCTCATCTGCATTTGCATGCAACGAGCAGGTAGAAGCGACTCATTAGAGTGGCGGCTGTATGCGGGAACAGCGAAACGAGTTATGCTTTTTCGACCTTTGCTGTGTTCCATGCCGACGGAGTTGTACCCGGGAGGATGCCCTCCGACAGCGACTGCTACGTACGCCAAGCTTCTCCAGGTCGCAACGCGTCTGCGCGCTCGAAGTCGCGTCACTTCCATAACTCCCACATCCTGCATTGTCCATAGTAACGATGGGAAATCTTGACAACTATCCTTTTAACTTCGAGTTCCCTGTAGGTCCGTACGTTGACAAAGGACGGCGTTTTCGGTCTTGGACGTTGTATGACGTCTTCTCAGCCGGTTCGTACATACCTTCCAATGTCTGCATCGCACTGACAAGCGAACTTAGACATGCCCGAAGAGGAATTCAAGGCTCTTGTAGACCTGCACTGTGCCGTCAGTCCGGATGTCTTTTACCTCATAGTCGACAATAGGTTCAGAAATACACTGCATTTCCTCAAGATGTGTTTGGCTCGCGATTTGGATTTCTACTGGGATATACGGCACCACACAACAAACCAGAAGCCACTGAAGAAATACTTCGACAAGATTTTCCTGCCACGTCTGCTTCACATGATGCGGAACTTGGCCACTGAAGCTGTCCGTTGCTGGGATATGGCAGTAGCGTGGTATATGACCATGAAATTGGAGTTGTTACACAGCGAAGACATATATCTCGACAGCAACGCTGATGAGGATCTCGATTGTTTCTTGCTTGAATCATTTTACGGCTGGGACGGAAGAACACCCCGATATCGCCAGGAATCCTACTGCAGGCCGATACCGTTTGTCGGTGCCGCCCGGATGTGTGGATATATCCGAGAATGGGTAAGAGACATGCATGGTTGTCCCATCCACGATAAGTCCGAATGGAGCCCTGAGAAGTACGGACCTTCTGGGTATACCAAAGAGTCCTGTATGCAGTCTCAGTTCGTAGCAGCCTACAGCATCTTTGAACGCCAGGCTTATGCCGAAACCAAAAGAAAAGTGTATCACGTCATAGGGCTCAGGTTGCCGAGAGAGCTTACAGATATGGTGTTTGATTATGCTCTTGTGGCCGAAAGCATACCCAAGGATCTCCCGACGTATGATGAGTTGGAACCCGACTTTGAAAAATGCGGAGAAGGTGCGTGAGCGACAACCAAGGAGTGGAATTGAGGAAAGAGAATCCAGTGGAGATGGTCGGCGACGTCACTTGGGAGATTGTTCGGCGATAAGCCGCAAAGCGAAGGGGTTGCATTTTGATACTGACTGGTGCTTGTATTGGAGGAAGATCTGCGCTCCACCGTATCGAATGTCGGTCTGCAACACAATCTTGCCGTCAATTGAGATGTTACCTGTCTTCAAGTTGCCCGGAGACGCCGAAGGTTGGCCAGCGCATGCTCCCAAACGAGATGTCCTGAACAAAAAGAGGAAGGCTGGATCTGACAAAACGTCATCGTCGTCCAAATTCTACTCAAAACGTAAGCTGCACCGAGATCTGGGTGGGGAGTGGAGCAGCATGTGGAACAACAGCTGCCAGAGCTGGCCGATCACATGCTGAAGTATTTGTAAGTATCTTGTACTCGGCGAGCAGGAAAGGTGAATTTTCAAGATGACGTCCCTGACGCTAACAGACGGTGCCCTGCATAATCGGGCCTTTTCCATCGTAGCTACCCCGCATGTCGTCACATTGATCAAGGGACTCTCCAGTGGAAAGCTATCGAACTTTTCATAAAAGGTTTAAAGACAACGACTCTACGCAACAGTTCACCATATCAAACACATCATACCTTCAAAATGTCTAAGCCTAACATTCTCTTCGTCCTCACCTCGCACAACAAGCTCGGCGACACCGGCAAGCCCACCGGCTGGTACCTCCCCGAGCTCGCCCACCCCTACCACGTCCTCCACAGCAAAGCCAACATCACGGTAGCATCGCCCAAGGGCGGTGAATCACCCCTCGACCCCGCATCCGTCGAAGCCGCGAAAGACGATGTATCCGTCAACTTCCTCAAGAACAACGAGCAGGTCTGGAAGACAACCCAGAAGCTGAGCGACTTCAAGGGCAAGGCGAAGGACTTCGACGCCATCTTCTACGTTGGCGGTCACGGACCCATGTTCGATCTCGTCGACGACGCGACCTCGCAACAACTCATCAGGGAATTCTGGGAGGCGGACAAGATCGTTTCGGCTGTGTGCCATGCGCCCGCTGTCTTCTACGATGCTAAGCTGAGCGACGGAAGTCTGCTTGTCGCTGGCAAGGAGGTTACCGCATTCACAAACGCTGAGGAGGAGCAGGTTGGCCTATCCAAGGTCGTACCCTTCCTGCCCGAGGATGCGCTGAACAAGGCGAGTGGAGGCAAGTTCGTCAAGGCAGCTGAGCCTTGGGGCGAGAAGGTCGCCATCTCTGGTCGCTTGATCACTGGACAAAACCCTTCCAGTGCCACCGCCGTCGGCGAGGCGATCGCAAAAGCGTTGGGCATCTAAGGAGGAATCATCGAATGTAAATAAGGGCCATGTAGAACAAATTCTATCATGATTATACGAATGTTTTTCATTTACGAAGGATGATATATACATCCAATCTAACATGTCTCTCGTGATCCTTCCTTCAAACTACTTCTCCTAATCTAGGCCAGTTTATACGTACATGTACGTAACTTCGGTGACAGTCTCGTAGACGGTGGCTGGTGGGCAAGCAGCAGCGGGAGCGGAGTGCTCTGGTGCCATGGTGGTGACGGGAGCGGGAGCGGGAGCATGCGACTCTTCAACGGGCGCGTGAGAGGGCTCGACAGGCAGGTAGGTAGTCTCGTAGGGCTTCTCAGAGGTCATGAGAGTGCTGGAAGCATGCATGGTAGAGTTGCCGTACGGCATGGTGGTGTTGAGGTGCTTGTGAGGGATGGTGATAGGGTATGCGGTAGCCGCCTCGGAGGTGGCGGTGGAAGTAGCGTTCGCAGTGGTGACAGGGATGTATGAAGAGATCATAGTAGATGGCTTCATCATGGTGGTGGTGACAGCTTCCTTACTGACAGTCAAGGCCTCGGAAGAGGCTGGTGCCACGACTGTGCTTGTGGTCTCAACCGGTGCGACAGTTGAAGAGACCTCAGGGGTAGGGGTGGGAGTAGCCGAGCTGACAGGTGCGGCCGATGAGGGCTTGACCAGGAGAGGTGTCAGCTTGCTCACGATCCAGTTTGATGCCTCCTCGGTGTAGAGCTCGAAGTAGTTCAGATGCTGAGCTACATCGTCTCCACCAGCGCAGACTGGGTCACCGCCGGCACAGTACGACCTCAAGACGGAGGAGTAAGTGTTCAAACGCTCAAGGTTAGAGCCGGTACGGCCCCAAGCTTGCTTGTCTGCTCCGTCGAGGACGTTGTAGACTTGGTTCGCAGTGTGCTTGACATCGCCCCAGAGAAGAGCTGCCTTGACGGCCTGACCAGCTTGCGAGTTGGCATCGAGACCGGTAGTCTTGGTGTCAACGTCGCAGGCGTCGGCGCCTCCGCCACTCAGAGTAGCTCCGGCAACCATGGCACCTTGTGAGTAACCGTTGACGACGATTAAAGTGTCTGGGCATTGAGCGTTGTACTCGGTGATTTGCCTGACGCCGTTGACGGCACCGTCCTGGATAGTAGGGCAGAACTCTACGCCGAGAGTGGCATCGAAGACGAGATCCATGTAATCGCAAGAATTTCCTTGAGCCTCGAATTTTGCGCAGACGGTATCTCTGAAACCTGAGGTACGGCCATCGCTGTAAGGTGCGTCATTGCCGCGGGCCATGAAGATAGCGACATCGTTACAAGCTGCGGTGAGCTTGGGAGGAGTGGTGCCTTGGGCACGGGCAGCCAAAGGAAGAGCTGCAAGAACAGCAGTGGCGAGGCCCTGCTTCATGATGGTCGTGGAAGGCATATCGAAGTTCGTGAATAAGGCGTTACTTGTTCGCTGTGACTCGGAGACTTTGATCGACGAGTGGTATTAGAGATCGATAGATCTAGTAGCGAAGGTCGTGAGAGTATGGAGTATTAATTATTAGAGAAGATATTATAGCATGGACTATATCCCTTTGATCTGATGTGTGGAGCGAGTGTCGATGGCCGAGCGAACGGACAAGTATTACACAAAGAGTAGAGCGCGATGGAGAGGGTGAATAAAAGGCCTCAATCAACAGGAACATGCGACATGATATGCCGAACTGACTGTGGAGCCCCCCGTATCGAGAACCACCATCAGAGGCTCTGTGTAAGACCTTGGGGCGAACGGCCTCGTCGTGCAGGAGCGCATGCTTGCAAGCGCATGTATTTTGGAGGCTTCAATCGAACAGTCTGCGGCCCTAGCAACTTGGACTATTGTGTATCCACAGATCTCGTGTTCATTCCAGGTTAGCAGGGCGCCGCTAGCACAGGAGAGGCAATACAGTTCGCCCGCTATGACTCGTGCGGCATAGTCGGCATTACAACCACCGGCATTATCTCGTATCAGGTGTGAGAGATAGGATAAGGCTGCAACCGTTGACACCCCGTGTGCTGCAGATGTTATCCGGAGTGGAGAGTATGCAG